CTTCCACAGATTATTTACTGGCTCCAAGCTAAGATGATCTACAAGGATTCCGATTTACATCTCACCTGTCTTCTTATCCAGTTCCCACATAATTATCCCTGGAGACGACCGCGTGTCTAAAGGTGGTATCACCCAACCCTGCACTGTTTTTAAGTTGCACAGTGTCACATAACGAGTGCAGCTAGCGAGGGTGGCACCTACGAACTGCTAGCCATCATTGTCAAGCACTGTGGTGAGTCTCAGTCACACTGTTTGCTTTAGCGCTAGACATTGCCTCAGCTTTGAGGTGTGGGAGCTGTAAATTAGCATCTGAAGCAATGCAGCTGTATTCCTGCTGTTGCTGCTGCAGCCTTTCCACCCAAGGCCCCTGATACTGTGATTTCTGAGGCTTCTTGTCTGGGAGCTGCTAGTTGTTGAATTTAATTCCACACTGGGGAACAAACATGGATGTCCTCGGAACTAGCCCATGGAAGGAACCTGCTGAGATTATAACTATCTTTTGAGGTCTCCCCAGAAGCAGATCCCTTGGCAAGGATTTGAGTGCAACCGGAGAAACTTTTTCCAGTGTATAACATTCATGGTTTGGCTTGTACAGTCTTCTGGTCGATTTGAAGCAGGCGGGGCATGTGGTGTCAATGACCCCAGGCTCAGCTTAGGGCTTCGAGGCCTTCATAGGGAGAATTCATCTCTACAAAAAATTTAAACATGAGCTGGCCATTATGGCATGCACCTCAGTCCCAGCTACTTGGGAGGCTGAGGCTGAAGGATCACCTGAGCCCAGTAGGTCGAGGTTGCACTCCAGCCTGAGTGGCAGAGTCAGTCCTCAACTCAAAAACAGCAAATCTATACCAATAGAAATTTCCAAACCTACAGAATGAGTGTTTTATTCATATTGTAAGCCAAAGCTCTGCTTATAACACGCTGAAGAGAAATGATTCATTAACTACTTTTAAAAGGCTAGACCTTTTCAAGAAGAATATCAATATTTTTCTTCTATCCAGTTTTCTAACCCTTTGTTAATTTCTTACCATATAGAGGCTACAGATGAAATCATTCTACCATATAATCCTCACCTTCCTCTGCAGGTGTTTTCAGATGTATTAGGAGTGAATACATGAGTACATAGAATCTACCACCAGTCATACCACATGCAAATAGATCCTAGAAAAAATCACCCAAGTAAGCCACCCATTGATCTGGTAGTCGGTAATTAAATATTTGCTCCTAAAAAAGAATAGGTATGCTCTCTAAAATAAGTTTATATTCAATAATTTCGTGTCATTTTAGAGAGAAGTTTATCTTCAACAGTTTTGTGTCATTGTAGAGAGAAAACGAAAAAAGTCACCGAGATCCCATCACATCGAGAAATCACTAACAGGCTATCCATGGGCCATATTGTGGATGTATTCTGCTTGTGGACTTACTATGCTTGGATCACCTAAAGTTCACCCACCTGGAGTTTTAAACCTGAATTTGTTGCCATTCCTTAAAAATAATGATAGTATGAGTCAAAAACCAAGTTTCTCAGTTGACTTGGAATATCAAAATGCCTGGCAGTTCTGAGCCTGTGATGCTCAATTAGTGCCAACTCCAACTCTTTCCTCTGAACTGACATATACTTCCTTGAAAGCCACATTCCCTTCCTCTCACTGTGGAAGGTCAATATCACCTATCATTTTATTTCTTCTGGCTTCTTTCATTTACATTACCTGTCTGGCCCCTGCAGACCTTTGAGATAGCCAGAAAGGAATAGATGAAGGAAGGATGACCAAGACTCCAGTATTTAAATTTTATTTTATAGGTTAGCATTTCCCAAGATCCCCCAGGGAACTGGAAAATGCTCCAGGAGAAAATGCAGTCTGTAATAAAATAAGTTTGATAAACTATCTCCTTTTGAAATTCTCAATGTACCAGTGCATTGAAGGAGTAGTCCCTTGGTTGAATACTAATTATACTGTTTGGAGTTGTATATTTTTGCCTTTTTCAGAAAATGACAAATAGAGAGAGGGGAAAAAAAAAGAGAAAAAGGAAAAGAAAGAAAAAGAACATGTTAACTTGCCTGGCTTTGGTTAGATAATAGAGAACCACTGGGAGGTTTTAAATAGTAGAGAAACTCGATCAGAGCTACCCATTGGTGAGTTAAATTTGCTCAAAGCACAATTTCCTTAAATATAAGGGTTAACATAAATTAAAGAAGTGCCACCACCCATATTCTTCAGGTTTTTCTTCTCCTCTCAGTCTTATGCAGAAGTTCTGCACTGAATATCTATTCCAGTTCTACTCTTATCTGATCCTTGCAAGCGAACTTATGTTTCCTGTGCTTAACTTCTTTTCTCTATGAATGGGCAGCAACAATACCTCCTGTTCTGTTACGAGCATGCATGTGATAAGGACATGTTAGCTATTCTTGTTCTTCTTATTCATATCTTCTTCTTACTATTTGCATTATCTGTAGATTCAAAGATTTCCATACACATATACACAGAAATATGTACAATCTGATATATTATGTAGGAAAGTCTACTCACCTACCAACCCAATGCAAACTTTATGTCCTCTAGAATGCATTGGTGGAGCTCCTTTGATTGAAATACTAATTACACTACTTGGAGTCATATATTTTGTATTTCTCAGGAAATCACATACTGAGAAGGGGGAAAGTGGAAAAAAAAAAAGAAGAAAGGACAAATAAACCTTATTCCCCTCTAGAATAGTAATGGAAGTAAGCCAGTGTGGCAACTTAATGTTAGTCAGCAACAACAGAAACTCCTTTACAAACTAAAAGAACAGGGAATTGGCTCAGTCATTTCCCAGAAATGAGAATTTCTAGGTCAACCGCAAAATTAGAAGTTTATAACCAAGAATTCAGCAAAATGAGCCAGCAGTTCCCCATGAGTCTGAGGGGTTGTCGACTACAGTTATGTTCAAACTTATTTTATATTTTTAACTTGATATTCTAACCATGCTATAATAGAAGTTTCTCTGAGATTCCCTTCCTATGAGTGGTTTGATCTTCCATCAACTGAGGCTGTACATGATAAGTGTCACTGTAGAAATCACCAAGGGTGGGATGTTTGGTGTACAGGCATAGGTGAGGTACTCAGAGTTATGATGTGGCAACCTAAAAAAATCTCAGAGGGCAGGCCCTCAAGTAACTGGAGATGAAATAATTCAACTTCAAAAATATCAGGATCTTACCATGTTTCGGACACTAGGCTGTAAATGCAGAAACAACACTAAACACAAAGCAGACATGACTCCTACCCTGTGGAGCTTATGGTGTAGAAGAGAACAAAGACAAATTTCATAGCTTTGGTTAGTGCTGAAGAAGAAAAGTTCTTTGAGAGGGTGCCCAAGGGAATATGGCCTCATCTTGGAGATCAGAAAAGGCATTCCTGGGGGAAGTGAAGTCTACATGATGACTAAGAGTTAACCAAACAAAAGGATGGAGATAAAGTTTCAGGGTTCATTTTCACCAGCCTCATAGCAATAGCATCAGGAGTATACAAATAACTGGGGAAAAAATGCAGCACAGTTGAAGAAAAGAGTCAAACTAAAGCATAAGGAGGAAGAGAATGGGAAGAACAGAACAGAGCATAAAAGAGATAAAGAACCCAACAAATGTTCTAGCGCAACTGCAACTTGAGTCCCAGAACGAGAGAAGAGAGTAAGATTGGGGCAGAGAGTTATTTGAAGAAATCATGTCCAAGCATATTCCAAAATGGATGAAAGACTTCAACCTGAGCAAATTCCCCAAAGTGATAAATCTATAAGCAAATTGTGATACACCCATGTAATGGAGTTCTATTCAGCAATTAAAGAAGAGCTTTTGGCTTCTGATATTTGCCATAACATAGAAGAATCTTAAAAGTATTATAATAAGTGAACGGAACAAAGTCACAAAAGGCCACACACCATATGATGCCATTTATATGACATTCTGGAAAAGGCAACACTATAGTGACGAAATTAGACCAGTGCTCACCACAATCAAGATTGGGTAAGAAACTGACCAGAAAGCCGGGCTCGGTGGCTCAGCCTGTAATCTCACACCTTTGGGATGCTGAGGTGAGTGGATTGCCTGAGCCCGCAGGTTTGTGACCCGCCTGGGCAGCGAGACCTCATCTCTACAAAAAATCAAAAAATCAGCCGGGCATGGTAGCGCGCGCCTGTAGTTCCAGCTACTTGGAAGGCTGAGGCAGAAGGATTGCCAGAGCCCAGCAGGTCGAGGCTGCGGTGGCCAGGAGCAGCCACTGCACTCCAGTCTGGGTGACAGAGTGAGACTCCAACTCAAAAAAAAAAAAAAAAAAAGAAACTGTCCAGAAAGAGGCACAAGGAAAATTTCTCGGGTGGTGGACTCTCACATATTAGTAACAGTACTATAAAACAGGCTACAAATAATATCACCAGTAGGGTGGAGACTTTGTTATATTAATAAAGAAAAATCTGGAAGAAAACACCTATAGCTCAACCACCAAGAGTTAGCCACTGCTTTATTTTTGTCTGCTTTTAATTTTGTTGTTCATACTTTTCTTAACTACTGAGTTTTCTATGAGACTATAATGATAATAGTTAGGGAAAGGATTATTTTTGAAAATCATAAATGTTAGTCATACTGATTCTAAAACATAGTACGCTATTTCTTTTTATTATTATTATTGTAGAAACGAGGTCTCGCCAAGTTGCCCAGGCTGGTCTTGAACCCCTGGGCTCAGACAATCCTCTCACCTCTGCCTCCCAAAGTGCAGAGGTTATAGATATGAGCCACTGCACTCAACTATAAAATATTTCTTAACGTTTACCATTGATTTTCTAATTTCAAGTGTTCTCTTTTAATAAAAGAGTGCTTTTTATTATCTTTAAAATTTACATTATTAATTCTACACAATTGCACCTCCTATCTGAAAACCTCTGTCAATAGAATCACTGTCTGTGGGTTTGCAGAATTCTTAGCTGAATGATTCACTTACCTGACCCTCCAAATAAAGTGAATTTTCGACATGGTGTTTGCACAGCTGATTTATGTCCACCTGCAAGATTTTCCAAGTGGCAGGTATAAAGGGAGATGGCAGGACTCTGCAATAGATCAGGTCTGCCTCGTGCCTGTGCCCGACCCCCTTTAAACAGTGCAATTAGAGTAATGAATGCTGCAGCTCAAGTTTAACCTGACAGAATGGTGGCCCTGCGGCTCAGCAAGGCTGCCTATGACAGAGTAACTGCTTGGGAAAGGACCCTCTTGAGGGTTCCTTAGTGCAGTCACCTGTTGATTTATGAACACACACCTTGTCTCACCCTTTTAATCATATCAATTTGCTACATCTCAGCGAAGGGGGGGAAAAGAACTGAAACCATTCATTATTAACAAACAGTTCAAATGCAAAGCTCCACAGCTGCTAACTCTGGATGGATGAAGTTTGTAAACCACTAACACCTCATTTTCCCTTATTTTGTAATGAATTTTTAATTACATAAGAAATAAGGGAATTCATTCTCCTCTTAAATATTAGAAGATTGACTCAAAGGTAGCTTTGGCCATCTTCTCCAATTTCCATCTTTTGGACCTTCCCCATGGATAGTTTGGGGTTTGGGGAGTTAGGTTTTTGGATCGTGTGTGTGTGTGTGTGTGTGTGTGTGTGTGTGTGTGTGTGTGTGTGTGAGAGAGAGAGAGAGAGAGAGAGAGATATGCTTTGCTTCATGAGGTTTTCCTCATTTTTTTCCTTTTCTACTTTATCTCTCCTTCTTTCTTTTCTTACCTACATGGTTTCATACTGTGGTTATCATTCTGCAAATTGTTTGATTTTTTTTCTTTCGCTGTGCCTTATCTCAGGTTGGTTCAACTAGCTCTTGTTTGTTTATTTTTTAACTACTCTGCATGATTCCATTATTTGACAACCGCACATTTTATCTATTCCCTTGTTGATAGACATTTTAGGCAATTCCAATTTTTCACCCTCACAAGCAATGCCACCGTGCACACGGCCATGTCTACCAATCCAGGTCCTCATGTTTCTTCCATCTAGACACAGTCAGGTCCATTGTCACCACAGTGGAAGGTCGGACCACTTGATAACCAACTTACATGGTACCTGGGCAACAATATCTTCTGTTCTAGACTCTGGTGGAGCAAGGCTGGGTGAGGGGCGGACTTGTGGCCCCATCCCTGGGCCAGACTTTTCCCTGGGAAGGCGGACAAGCCAATAGAAGAAACAGGGCCATCTCTTCATGACTACTTCAGCCAACCTGCTCCCAGCTGACTTGGGCTCATTTTCAGAATCAAATGCGAAATTTCACTATTTCCTCTAAAACTTAAAAACCCACCTAGAGGCGGTGGAGTATTTAACACTGCTCCTGGCTGTCAGGCTTGAGGAGAACAGTATCCCAGGTTGCCGCCATTGAAGGGGCCGTCAAGAGTGGGCAAAGGTCGTCGGCGAGTCCTTGCTGGAGATAAAAGCAATTTTTAAAAATGGATCTGACAAGAGGTCGAGTCTGACACGGGTTTCTTTCACACTTGCTACCTTCCACCCCATGAAGACAATCCCAGCCCTGTTCCCCAGCCCCACGGCCATTTCAGAGTCATGAAGTCATCCCAGCTGCAGCTACAGCCTGGTGTGAAGGCTGGGAAAAAGCTGGCTGGTGTCCCATCCCCCCGCCAGCAGGAAATGTCCGCTCAGTGAAATTCAGACGCTGCCCGGGGAAAATGTGGAGAGAGAGAGAGAGAGAGAGAGGAAAATAATAGCCTGAAGCTGGTGGAGGAGTCAGGAGGAGAAACAGGTTCGCCACCAGGGGTAGGCCGGTGTTTCACCTTGGGACCTCCTGGGTAGGGCGCACCAACTCAAGCCATTTCCCACTTTGAACACGTAGCAAGGATGGCCTCCTCTGTGCCACCCCAGCGTCAAGCCCAGTTCCACCCACTGGGAGCTGTGGGCAGAGCTTAAGAACCGGGGGGACAGGGAACAAGGTCTTGCCAGCGAGGTTCAGGCAGGAAGGCCTGGCCTCCGGCTCACTCTGTGCCAGTGGAAAAAGAGACGTAAGCGCCAGGCCTCAAGAGAGCAAGTCATGGGCCGGGCTTTACAATCTGTTTCATGAGTTATTCCTCCAAGCATGCCTGGCAATAGAATTTCTTCATTAGTGCCGCAGCAAGCAGATGGGAACAGGAGGGCCCGGGGGGCTTCCCAGGGAGCACAGAAACCTCTCACACAAGCAGGTGGCGCCCCAAACTTTCTGGGCAGGCTCTGGAGTCGAAGGAGGGCATTCTGACATTTAAGTGGCCTCCCCTTCCCTCTTGGATGGGGTTGTTTTATGGGGTGGTTTGGTGCCAGTTTTAAACCTAGACTCTCATTCTACCCTTTCTCTTGATCCTATTAGGAATGTCTGCCTCTAGCTGACCCCTGACTGTCTTTCTGTGATACCTGAAAAATCTGGTGTTGTGAGGAGCTGTAAAGGGTTTCATAGTCTAAAACAACCAACGGTTCCCTTTTCTTGGGGAAGAGGTACCAAATTAATAGAGACCAGGAGAGAGTAGAGCATGGGAAGGTAGGGATTGAGTATGGATAAAGAGCTGCCAAGTTGTCAGGAAGACTGAATGGTATAGACCACGTATTTCAAGAAGCTGGGGATTAGCGAGTCAGCATTTCTCACTCATAGAAACCCTTGGAGACACCTTATCATTTAAGCTCCATCTCTTTTCCTCAGATACCTTCTTGTCACTATTAGCTCCTCTTATTTCCAACCACAGCTTAAACCTCTGAGAAACAAGGTAACAGCTCACAGTATGTCCCCTCATCTCTGCCCTAGAATCCCTCTGAAACTAAGGGTTGTCACGGAGGGAGGCTTTGGGAACGAGGAGGCAGCTGCTATGGGCTGAATGTTTGCATCCCCCGCCCCCAAGATGTGTATGTCGAAGCCTCATCCCCAGTGTGGTGGCATTAGGAGGGAGCCCTTGGGAGGTGAGTAGGGCATGAGAGTGGAGCTCTCACGAATGGAATCCGTGCCCCTATGAAAGAGGTCCCAGAGGGCTGCCCCACCCCTTCCACCATGTGAGGACACCAGGAAATGCGCCATCTATGAACCAGGAAGCAGGCCATCACTAGACACCGAATCTCCTGTTGCTTGATCTTGAACTTCCCAGGCTCCAGAGCTGTGAGACATAAACTGTTGCTTATAAACCACCCAGTTTGTGGTATTCCGTTAGGGCAGCCTGAGGTGACTGAGGCAGGGGTTTTTTTTCATCCCCATCTCTGTGGTCCTCACACCCAGCCCACCAGCACTCCCCTTCTTCTTCATAAACGTGGAACTTTGTGGACCTCCACTCCCCCACAATCCCTCTAGTACTTTGGTTTCGTAAGGAAAGACCTCAACGGAAAGAAAGATGGCAGAGAAGCAGCACATGGAAACCGTCCTCTTGGGAGCACGGGAGAAAAGAGAAGAGGAGGAACAGGGTGAGGCAGGGCGAAGGTATCCCCATCAGGTGGAGGAGTAGAGCTGGGAAAGTTTGGAGTGACTGGGCTCACTGTCTCCCCTTCTTTTCTCTCCCCTTCCTCAGGACAGTGCTGCTCCCCAGGCCAGAGGGTGGCGATGGGGGGACAGGGTGGGGTGGCAATGGGGGCAGCATCTGAAAGAAGAAAATGGAAATTCCTCGGAGAGATAGCTGAGATGAACATCAAAGACAGCCCTGGAAAGTGGCCCCTACCCAACCCCTCATGGGAGCCTCTCCTCTCTCTTACCTGAATGATCTTCAAAAATGAGTGCCTGCTTTCATTGTTTTAAAAGAGAGAGTGAAAGACACGCAATATTCGTGTCCCCCCAAGAGGGTTTCTGATGAAGAACTGAGAAAGCACAATCAATGTGGTTTTGCACTAGTATGCACAGCAGTGAATGTGGAGTAACTTTGAAAAGTTGTGCATATCCATTATAAAAAAAAATCACTTGACCACACTTGAAAAGAATGAGTTCTATAACTATATACATACAGAAGAGAACCCCCAAAACCATAATTTATTTATTAAAAATCGTGTATTTATTCTTACGTGTATAGACTTCAAACACCTTCAAAGTATTCTCCATTTGATGCAATACACCTATCGAGATGCGTTTTCCACTGCTCAGAATGGTTTTTGAACTTATCAATTTGTATGCCTTTTAGTGCATCTGCCGTTTTTTGTTGCACATTTTTCTCACTGGCAACACATTTCCCTTTGAGGATTCTTTTCATCCGGGGAAACAAAAGAAAAGTTGCTTGGGGTGAGATCAGGTAAATGGGGAGAATGGGGCATGAGGGTTAAGCCGTTTTTGGTCAAAAACTACTAAACCCTCAGCATGGTATGAGCAGGTGTGTTGTCACAGTGGAAGAACTAGTTACCTGCATGCCACAACTCAAGGTGTTTCTTCCGCAGTGCAGCCTTTCACAACAATGCTAGCTGGTACACGGATGCTGGTCTTACTGGCCACAATTAACTCATTAGAGATTGCATTTGTGGTCAGTGTTGCCATTTGTAGTAGTAGCAACGAACCTCATGGAAGGCAAGAACAAAAATCGAGCACCAAGAACGCTGCTGGTTCTTCATCAATTCATTGTTGAGGCTCAGACACAATAAAGCACATTTCCTCTCATTCTCCTCCACAAAATACTGATAAAACTCTGAGGACAGCAGGAAGCAAACAGCAACAAGTGACTTTCACTGAAGAGGAAGTCCCATGTCCTGTGACATTGCTTCCTGCCACCTGGCCCTGTAAGAACAGAAAACCATCATCTTTCATCTTCAAATTTTTGAGACTATGTTTCATGCACAGAAGTTTCCTTGGATCCTTGAAGTTTACTCAAAAACTTAAGAAGACCAGGCTGCACTGTGTTTTGTGCATGATGATCACATGACCACAATGGCCAGCGATCCCAGGAATGGTTTGAACCCTACTCTTGCACCCAGCTCTTCTGAAATGGACATAGCATTTGCTCTCAAGACAGATCCATAGCACAAGGTAGCACACGCTGCCTTTCCAATGAGACCATGAGTTCCTCAAAAGCAGAGAACATACTCTCACTGTATCCACTTTCTCTTTGACCCTAGATGATGCGTGTTTCAAGGTAGGAACTCAAGTACTAGTTCCCTTCACATCTCTAAGAATGTTGACTTGCTCAACTTCTAGGCGTACCTGGACTCTTCTTAACCAAAATGCTTCCTGGGAATTTATAGGAGCTGTGATGATTCAGGTCATGAAAGGAGGTCTGAGTATGGGAAAGTGGGAGATATAAGTAGAGGAGAAACAAGAGTTGTACCAGGCCCTCTGAGCCTTGACCTTGGTGAGCTGCATCCTTCAGGAGACAGTCTTGGAGGAAGCCCCTTGTGCCAGGTGGGTGTCAGAATCCAGGGACTGTAAAAGGCCAGGATGATACCCTTCAGTCACATGCCAGGCCCAACACTGGAAATGGGCATATTCTGTCTTTGGCCTAAGATACACTCTTCATCTTCTTGAGCCTTAAGAATATCACATTGAGTTCTTCAGGGAGTGGTATTGAGAAATGCAAGAATTTTCATCCCATGCTTTATCTTTAAGGCAATGTTCCCAAGGTTCCCAGCGAGCTCATTCAAAGGGTTTAAAAGCAGAGTGGCCAAGGCTTTGGCTTTGCTCAATCTCGTAACTGAAGTATATAGTGTGTTTAAACTAAAGTTTTGTTTGCTTAAAAAAATGCAAATTGTTTATCTACTCTATAGAACACAATTGATCTATAAGGCAGATATGGGGAGGTTCTACTTTGAATTCTCACAATCAAGAGCCTTCCCCAGTCACTGAGGGTGATAAGCCAACATCAAGGACATTGTCTTTTGTTGTCTAGAAACTAACCTTTGGTCTCCATCACATAATACTGGGTTTCGTGAGATTTCCAGTGTGCATCAGGAGCAGGAGAAACAGTAGGACACTTGCTCCATCAGACAGGACCCGGGCGTTTTTGCCTTATTTAGAAATGTACTTGTTTTATTATGACACTGGCCGTTTGTTAGCACAGAGAGAGACAGAGAGGCTCACAATGTTTGAGTCCCTTATTTCGCATTGTTTATGTTCTTAAAACAATTTAATTAGCTTAATAAACAAAAGCATTTTCAATTCATAAACAAAGAGAGCTCAGAAAAATTAAATGTTTCCAAAATGCAACATGAATAGAAAAGTCAAATCATTCCAAGTCATTCTCTCATTCCTGTATGCCCTGGCCCTGAGAGCCAACAGGACTTCTAAAAAATATGATAACTTCCTCATTTTAAGATTTCAGTAGGACTTGGAAGACCTCTAGATGGATCAATGTTTAAACTGATTCTAAATGCTACAGCCACGGCCACCTTCTTAAATAGCTCTCTAAAACGATAAAATGGAAAGGGCAGTCAAATGTATGGTTTGTCATTTACCAAGCAGTTTTAAATACCTGGATTGATTCAGTTTCTAAAGCAGGAAGAATTTAAAACTCCAAGGCCAAAGGAAGATTTCTAAAAGAGCAAAAGAAATGAAAGGGTTACATAATTCTGAGTTTACACAATCAACACGAGTAGACTATATCATTTTGATCTTCTATTATATTTTATTAATGTGTCTGACATTTTATTATTACAAACTCTTTAACCCATAAATAACTATGGACGCTATCAAAATATTTATACTCATTACCTCGACAGTACCTTGTAAACTCTGCACTTCAATAACATAAACACAGTTTATGAATTGTGAGTATAAATGTAAATCAATAGAATACAAATCATGGTGGGGACAAATGTGCCATCTACAAATAGTTACGCATTTTATACAGTTATTTGTTAACTTGGTTTGAACATTAATTTCATGTTAGTCACATACTAAGAATTTCAAGTGTATTATCACTTAATCTTCCATAAACCCATGTGGCAGACAAAGTTGTTTCTTTCATTTTACAGATAAAGAAACTGAGGTTTAGAGTTTACCCAGTGAACAATGATTAGAAAGTGGTAGAGTCATTCTTGAACTCAGCCTCTGTGACTCCAAGGACTATTAACTCCTACACTGTCCTGTGAGATGATAAAGAGGTAGTATGGAGATGTGGTTGGTTTGTAATATTATTACAGCGATGGCTATTAGAAAACTGATGATTTTCCACTGTTTTGACGGGTCTCAAATTTAGCCTGATAAGCCCTCCTCGCTGGTCTTAGTCATAGTACAATCAGATAAGCAGACCTACTGGGAGTAATACGTGTATTACATTTGCATGTCAAATCTACATGTACACATCTATACAAACTCATTTACATATATACCCAAGCTTGTGTGTGTGTATATAAACACATTGTGTGTGTGTGTGTGTGTGTGTGTGTGTGTGTGTGTGTGTGTGTGTGTGTGTCTGTCATGGGCATTTTTACCTTATAAAGTTGTGGGTGCTGACTAAACAGTCTCTGTAAGAATTTTGTCCACAAGGCAGGCAGTGGGGAAGCAAGGACAAGCTGGAGCCCACAAGCATGAGGACTGAAATTCATGTTGATTTGTGTTGCCTCTGACTTTGATGGTGTGGGTGTCCTGCAGGAAGTGCTGGTGCCCTTCCTCACAGAACCGGTCCAGGATTCAAAGAGACCAAAGCAGGATGCAGGGGAAAAAAGAGCAGTTGCAGGCTTGGCTGCTGCCCCTCACCAAAAAGAGGAGCCAGCGACAAGTGACACATGCATATGAGCGACAACAAGGCTACTGCCCAACCTCTGCCCTCTGAATTTCCCACAGGAGTCTCTTTTGTGGCCCACTCTAACCAGAGATATGCAGAGGAGAGAATTCTGGGAAGTGTAGTTCTGTCTAGACAAGCCGACACTTGACAAAGCCACCACACCAAAGTGCACCAAAGGAACCAAGATGGACAGGGCCGAGTTCCTGTCTTCACATCTGGGGGTGTGAAGGGAAAGAGAAGCATGGATAGCTAATATCAACACAAGTATGATGGCAAGTATTATGAGAAGAGCACTCAGGGTGCAATAGGAGCCCACAAAGTGGTTCGCTCAATCCAAGCTGGAATTTCAAGAGATCTTCCTGGAGAATATGGTATTAAGCAGTCTTAAGAGATGAAGTCGGAGGTAGGCCAAGTGCAGGAAGTAACTTACACCTGTAATCCCAGCACTTTGGGAGGCCAAGGTGGGACAGTTACTTGAGGCCGGGAGTTTGAGACCAGTTTGGGCAACACAGCAAGGCACATTAACTAAAAAAAAAAAAAAAATCAAAATAGTTAGCTGGGCATGATGGAGCATGTCCGTAGCTACAGCTACTTGTGAAGGTGATGTGAGCTGGGATTGTGCCACTGCACTCCACCTGAGTGACAGAAAAAGACCGTGTCTCTCTCTTTCTCTCTCTCAAAAAAAGAAAAAGCATGATGGGATGATGTAGGAGTTGGCCAAGAAGGGTGAGTAGGATTTTAAGGTGGGTGGAGAAAATAGCCATTAAGGTCTATGGCAGAGGTGGGATGGAGAGATTTATAAGCAATAATTGTGAGATGCTAAGAGTGAAAAGAAAGGACATTGGAAAAATTAATGCTGCAAACCCTGAAATGTCTATGTGTGATATTCTAGGGAGTTTGGACTTTCAGTCCTAGTAACTAGGGAGCAATTCAAGAGTTATATACATAAAAATGAGGTAGATATTCTCCAAGATAACTTCCTCACTGACTTTCTTCCATGTACATATGTACTGCTCATTAAACTCAAAAGAGTTTAATTTTCCTCCTCTTGAATTTGGGCTGACCTGGAGGAAAACGACAAAAGTGATATTCCTATGGTAGGTCTTAAGAAGTCTTGCAGCTTCTGCCTGGGCATCTTGGACTAATAATTATTGGAACATCCTATCTCCTCTTGGAAGCAAACTGCCATGCTGTCAGACCCGGAACCACATGGAGACACCACATGTAGGTGCTCTGGTCAATCACCCCAGCTGAGTGCCCAGCCAAAACCATCATGTGCATTGTCATCATGAATGCCATCATGAATGTCCAGCCAAGTCAAGCCTTTATGTGACTCCATTCCCAACCACCATCTGAACAAAACTATAAAATACCCCAAATGAAAGTTATCCTCCATCAACCCACAGAATTTGAGAGAGAGTCATAAATTGCTTTAGAATTCAAGGTTTTTATGCAGGTTGTTTCATAGCAATAGATTATGAGAATTTCCATGGTAATGTTTTGGGTATTTTAGGGGGAAAGGACAGGGAGGAAGATACTTAATAGACTGCTGATTGACTTTTTAAAAAAAGATAAAATGAAAGTAGGGAGACCTGGCAGGAATTCATTGCCAAAACCAAAAGAAAAGATATTAGAGCCTAAACCTAAAAGAACTAGTTGCAATGAAGAAGAAAATTTGTATTCCAGAAACAGAAATTAATAGTCTTTATGATAAATGAAAGGCAAAAGAGAGGAGTCAAAAGTGTTTTGTGTGTCTCTTGTACAGCTGGGTCTGGAAGCTGTTATCTCAATCACAAAGACCTAGAATACTGTGTCAGAAAGGATCAGAATAGACAGAGGAAAGAATATTATGGGTTCAAAGGCGTTTCTAGACATATGATTAATTTTACTTGACTGGACTATAGAATGCTCAGATAACTGGTAAAACATTATTTTGGGGTGTGTCTATGGGAGTGTCTCAGAAAAGACTGGCATTTGCATCAGTAGATTGAGTAATGAATATGGGTATGGATCATCCAATTCTTTGAGTGCCTAAATAGAACAAAAAGGCAGAGGAGAGGCAAATTCTGTCTTCTTAAGCTGAAGCATCCATCTTCTCCTGCCCTTAGACCTTGGCACTCCTGGTTCTTGGGCTTTTGGACTTAGAGTAGGACACACCATTAGCCCCCTAATATTCAGGCCTTTCGAGTTAAACAGAATTACATCATCAGGTTTTCTGGTTCTCCAGTTTGCAGATGGACTTCTCAGCCTTGTAACCACATGAACTAATTCTTATAATAAATCTATTTTATCTATCTATTTGCCTGTCTAACTATTCTGACTATTCTAACTATTTACTGGTTCTATTTCTTTGGAGAACCCTGGTTAAAATAGTAGAGTATATCCAGGCTGAGAAGTTCAGGAGGAAGTTTGATTTAGGATTTGGCCCAGGTTTGGAAAACCTCTAGATAGATGTCATTCATGAACGACCATGAAAATGAACAAAATTCAAAGAGAGGATGTAAAGTGAACTACAACATAGGCCAAGGATAAACCTCTCATGTAAATCATACCCAAATTCTCTGCCACAGAAGAACTGCATGAACTTGGGCAAATAACCTAGCATCTGTCCATTTCCACATTCCAAAAATGGGTTTTTATAAGAAGTAAATGTGATGCTGCATTCCAACTACCTGGCGTTAGAGCGGGTATCATCACTGTTGCCACCATTGTTACCATCATCTACATAACATCATGTCATCATTCATGTTGAAGGATGCTAGGATGCTAAGAAATTAACGAAGGAGTTAAATAACTATTACAAGGTGGAAGGAAAAAGAGAGAACTATCACAGAAGTAAAAGAGTTGAGAGTTTTGAGAAAGAACTAGAAGTCAGAGGAATCGGAAAGTTCTCTCTAGAGTTGACAATATTCAAGCTATTGAGGACCTTGATGAACTTTTGATGATGTGGTGGGAGTTAAGCAAAACTGAGGTAGAATATGAAGCTGAGGAAGGTTGTGAGGGTTCTAAGATCATTCATTCAAGAAACTTGTCTGCAAAGGAAAGGAGAGATTATAGTAGCCAGAGGAGAGTAGCAGGGTACTAGAAGTTTTTGTTTGTTCATTTGTTTGTTCTTTGTATTGCAATTACTGTTTGCATGCTAGTTTTTTGTTGTTGTTAAAGAGGTAGAGTTATGAGTATAAAAGAACCTAGAAATAGAGAAAAACAAGAACAGATTCACATGAAAGCCCTTGACTGAGAACAGAATTAAGTCCTGCCAGGGTAGACTTCAAGCCTTGGCAGGTAGGCAAGTGTCTGAGACACAGCTGGCTCAGGAATAAGGCCCCTTCCTTGGCTGGCAGGCTTGAGGGTGCATAATTTGGAAGTGGATATTAGATGAGGCATAATAATGTGAAATTTGAAAACTTATTGGGGGAGGAAAGCTTGCATATTGTGAAGTGGTTATGAAAGTATTTCCTTCTTTTGGGCTTCAATGGCACTGCCTCTGAGCATTCATGTCTGTCCTCGGGAGGTAAGCATGGGGACTGATTCCGCAGTTACTACCCGAATATCCATGGCTTACAGAGGTAGCATGGTTTATAGGATCAAGTGAGTCTACATCTCACTGAGGTAGACGAGAGATGTAGAGCCTGAGTTAGGAGGCCCCATGGCCCCTGTCACATGAGAGGTGGGATCAGAAAGCATCACTGGCCACAAACTGAAACAAGTGGCTCAGACATGAAGAAGTCACTTGCTGGAGTTGTCAGGAACAGAGAGTGGGAAGCAGGTGAGGGGAAGATTCTGGGCTGCAATTTTATGAAAAGTGGGTAGATCTCTACAACTTAGTTTCTAGACTAAGCGGAATAAGCATGTTCCAACCTATTCTTCCCACTAATTATAATGAAAAGCTCTGTGCAAAATTTATACAGCAAGCAGCAGAAGACTCTGAGGGTGGAGAAGAATAGACTGACAAGCTTTGCCAGACTCAAGGGACCATCAGCAGGGAGGGCCCTGGGTTTTGTTTGCTCGCTTGTTTTGTTTTGTTCATTATTTTTGCCTCCTATGTGTGACAACCAGGATTCCAGAGAGGCCTGTAACCCAGAAACACAGTTAAATGGGTACAGATTTTTTAAAAGCCCAATACAATCGTCTCTTTTGAGCCAAAGGACCAGGACCAGGGTTTCCATCAAAACAAAAACATTTTGACCATATTTTTCCCATTCCAGGTAAACTGCACCAAAAAAAGTCCGTATCCTTCCACTTCTCACCAAATGCCACTGGTAGGAGACTGTGAATGGAGCCCCCTTATCCATCCTTCCTCTAGCAATAAAGAGACAGAGTCTTTTCCTCTTCTAACTAGAGACTGAGGGAGGACTATGTGGAGAGGAGAAAAGAAATGACTTTCAAAATCTGTGTATGAAATACTGTGCAGAACTCTGAGCGTGCCATGCACAAAATAGACAAGAAACAGCACAGCGAGAGATTTCAAGGGTCAGAAAAACAGAACACTGGGGTTTCAGACGGCCCTCTGGGTAGCACTCAAGTGGGACAGATTGGAATAGCACTGTAAAAGCATTGAAAACGAAATGGACATTTGAACCACAGCCTACAAAGTGGACCAGAATCAGCATTCTGAGCTTAAACAGGTCAACTGCCTGCTAAAATCAATACTTAAATAGGAACCAGAATAATATAACATAATACTCAAAATATCTAGGATGCAATCCAAACTCCCATCACACTGAAAACCATAAAAATCTCAACTTGAAAGAGAAAAGGCAGCAGTAAGCATTGAGATGACACAGATGTTGAAGTTATCGGGGAGAACTATAAAGCAGTTATTATACAAGTGCTCTAATTTTAAAACAATGATGAATGCTTGGAACCAATGACAAAATAGAAAGTCACAGCGAAGAAGTAGAAAACGTGAAGGTGAGCCAAATAGAAGTATCAAAACTGAAAAATACAATAACCAAAATTATTTTTAAAGATCACTAGATCATTTTTCAAAATCAGTAGCAACGTTCATAAGGAAAGATCGATAACCCACCAGAAATATGAGCAGAGAGAAGAAGAGTTTACAGAAAAGGAAATACAAATAATTCTTGCACATTTAAAAATATGTCCAACTTCACTCATAATAATAAAAATAAAAACTACACTGAGATACTGGTTTTTACTGATCAGAATGGCAAAACCCAAAGTGTGAATATACACTATGAGGAGATGGAAAATTCTCTTAGATTACTTATGGTCATTGGAACAATTTGGTCACATCTCTAAAATCACATGCCATTTGGCCCTGCAATTCAATTTTTAGAAATGCATCATACAGAAAACTTGCATATGAGTGAAATGGCATATATATAGTGTTAATCCAGGCTACAATGTTAGTCATCATAAAGGATTAGAAACCATTTAATATCCATCAATAGGCTACTGGTTAAGTTAATTACCACATATCCATAACATGAAAAATTACACTATTATAAAAAAGAGAAAGAGAGAGAATGAAACCCTCTATAACTTGCTACCATAAAACACATAAAAGGAAAGACAATGATTTCCATTTGTCTGTGGCTGTATTTGCATAAAGAAACTTTGAAAGGACAGATAACAAGAATTGGCTCCCCAGGGGAGAAACAGGGGCTGGAAGGGAGTCTGGAGTTACACCTGTTAACTCTGTTTATTGAATGATGTGAGCATATTGCCTATTAAAAAAGCAATATAAACAAACACGCAAAAAACAAAAATAGTCCTCAGTGTCTAGTCCCAGGGCTTTGTCATAGTGGTTCCTTTATGTCTGGATGATGTAAACCTATTCAGTGTTTCAATTAACTTGGCTTACTATTAAGCCAATAATATTAAAGGACTTAATACTAGCAGGATATTGTTTCACCCCTCAGGCCACGTGAGATGACTTCCATGATCCCTATGAGGAAGAAGAGCCCTGAATCCCCCGGGACACTGGTTACAATGAAAGCATTTTATTATGAATCCGTTTTAGTGGCCTGGGCTGCTGGGGGCTTGAAGCTTGCCTCCCAGCCCCTCACAGCACCCTTACGCTACTGCTTTCTGCTAATCACACAGGGTGCCTCTGCCTGTGGTGAAAAGATCTCCCTTCTGGACATGCCATAAGGCTGATGACAACTGCCCGGCTCCCAGTTTTCTGGTCCTTCGTGTCTGGTTTCCTTTGGAAACTGAACCGAGCCAGCGAGTTCTTCCATTTTCCTCTCCTCTTGCAGACACCCAAAAGCAAAACCTCACAAGCCCAGCCCTGAGCACTTGTCACATTGGAGGTGTCTCCTTCCCTGGCTCAGAAACTTGGTTTGGGTTTTTATCGGGAGTCTCTGGGCCCCCATGGAAGGATAGAGTTTGAGGGTGGGGAGGAGTCTCTCCTCAGGCGCCCCCTGACTCTTATTAAGCGATCCCAAACACCACCACTTTCCATGAGAGGATCAAGTTGCTCTTCTGGAATCACAAGCAGTCACTGATCTGAGCCGGCTTTCTCACGAGGGCACATGTGGGTCCTGCACAGCTGCTCCCATCTGTCACTTCAGCTGACACACCGGGACAGCTGGGGAAGGAGCGTGCCTCCTCCTCTGTGTTCTGTTGAGCTCTTGGTCTAGCCCAACTCTTGAATCCAGGTGATACGCCCTAATTGGCAAACAAAAGCCACAGGAGCAAGACAGAAAGAAAAAAGCTGGCCCTTGCAGAGCCTGGCTCCAGTCATTTAAAACGAAATCAATCTCACTTCTCCCCTTTTCCCTCCGTGTCCTGAAATAATATTTGAAGTTCTGTTTGGCCTCCTTGGAGAACTGCCAATGAGTTCGAGGCGTGCAGTGAAGCCATATTTCAAGGAACGATTGCACTCAGGACTTTTGAAAAGTGATTCTCACTCAGGAATAATATACGATATGAATTTAATAATCTGCCATCCTACTTCTCTCCCTAGATTTTTGGTTGCTTTCTTCTCCTCAAGCAAATAAGAATAGAAGACTGACAGTAGCAAAAGGAACCTCTCCTTCAAGGAAGTGACTATTAGGCTACCATGCTTTTTTTAATTTTATAAATGTATCAATGATGAATTTTGAAAGGAACAAAATGCACACGCATTCTTAGGTGTTTTGTTTTTGCCATTGGCTATGGTAAGTATTCCAAGAAATCACTCTCCACCTTTTGTTAATTGAAAAATAATCTTCAGAATTTCTAGCGGGGCTTGGTGGCTCAGCCTGTAATCCCGCGCCTTGGGAGGCTGAGGTGAGTGGATTGCCTGAGCCCGTGGGTTCGAGACCCGCCTGGGCAACTTGGTGAGACCTCAGCTCTACAATAAATCAAAAAAAATTTGCTGGGCATGGTAGTACGCACCTGTAGTTTCAGCTACTTGGAAGCTGAGGCGGAAGGATCACCGGAGCTCAGCAGGACGAGGCTGCGGTGCCCAGAAGCGGCCACTGCACTCCAGCTTAGGCAACAAAATGAGACTCCAGCTCAAAAAAAAAAAAAAAAAAGAATTTCTGTTACTACATGGAAGTTATGGGTGAAATAGTCTGAGA